ACTGTCACATAATAAATCAATAAATTCATCTAGTGGCAATGACTGTGAAAGTAGTGTTGTACGACCTGTACTCTGCCATTGCTTAAATACTACATCTTCTTCATGCTCCATAAACTCCTGCACTAAAAAACTTTTTAACGCTTCAATACCAGGACATTAGTTACATCGATGCAACATACATTCTGCATTTTCAAGAAAGCAAACGATCAATGCCATGAAATCTTTATAACTTTTATTCCACCTAATGGCATCAATGAGAAATTTTGTATTTTGGTGATGTATGCAAACACATACATTGTGGTACCTGACACATTAGTTGTAATACACCATTTAGGTTTAAGAGTACAAAACTTTGACAAACTGACTTTGACGTTAGGGTAGTCTTTTTTAAATGCAACATGTAATTCATTAAGATTGAGTAGCAATAATCTTTTTTGAACATGTTGGTTTTTCTTAATACTTACATAATCTTTTTTTCCTGGCTTCATTCTTGTAAATTCATCACTTTGATAAAAGTTAATCACTAAATTGACTGTTTCTGGTGAAAGTGGGTTTCCAGTTTTTTTCCCGGGTAATAAACATTTGCACCTTATGGCGATAAGAGTCAGTCTCTGAATTTTTTTTTTTTATTTCATACATTAAAATGTCTAGATCATGGTCATTGTTAATGTTGTTGTTTAAAATGGGGCTTTTTATTTCTGTTGTTAAAAAAGTTTCTTTAATATTATATGCTAATGAGGCCATTTTTGCAACTCTGTCAATAGTGTTCTCAAACTTTTGTTTTGCCACAGGCAGTTTGCTGTGTTTTCAAAGACTTTTTAGTTTGACCGGTGAGATTCCAAGCAATTCTATAGTGGTATCTAACTTAATTTTTTTCTCACTTTTTGATTCCCATTCCTCCTGTGAATTTAAATCTTCATCAGTTTCTATTGCTTTTTTGTAACATTTACTGCAGAATTTCGAACCTGGGGTTACATAAACATTATTTTTTTGCAAATAGTTTGCCATGTCTATGGAAATCTTTATATTACCTAAAAAACAAATTTAGTTTTACGTTGTTAAAATAACTGAAATTATAAAACTTTTTATAAATAATAAATTGTTTTCTTTTAATTTCCATATCAATTTTGTTGTAAATAAGGTAAGATTACCTTTTATAGAAATTTTTTTACTTTCCTTGTGTGTTCCAATAGGATTGCAACACTTAGTAATTTTTCTTTCAAAATATTTTCCATAGAATTGCTCATGATAACAACATAACTCTTATTGAACTATATTTTTCCTTTAAATTTGCTCGCCATATTATTTATTTTTGTTTTTCACAAGGAAGATCTTTATATTGAACAAAACCTTGTTTTCTTGAAAATCCAGTTTTGTGGCAATAAATGTTAAGACTTTTTCCAATGTCACATTTTTTTATAATAATTATTTTTATTATTTATTACCTAACAAAATAATATAAAAGCTATAAAATTAAAAGTAATTCTTTAACAAAATACAAACAAGTAAATACCTTTAAAAAGAACAAAACAAAACTTATAATCGTTTTTTATATAAAAGGAGGTTTTAAGTCACCTATTTAAAATAATGAAATTTTTTTTTTCAAAATTAAAGTTAAGTTGTATGTTTTTGCATTATTTATTCATTTTATGCACACAAAAAAAAAATCTAGAAGGATTAGGAGAGGGGGCGTAGGGGCCTCCCGTGGGAGTGGAGGGTATCTCCCTTGGCCCATGACTATAAATGTCCTAAACTATTCAATAAATGACACTATTTGATGTTTTATTCAAATAAATGTTTTTAAAAATATTTTAATTGCTTATGTTACAAAATTTAAATTTTTCTAAAAAGACACCATTTTTAAATGCAAATTTTGATCACGTATTAGAGAGACAATTGATGAATCTAATTTTTTTCAGTAGACCTAAGATGAAATAATGATATACAATTAAAATTTTTACTCAGGATTTTGGGCCACAGTCTTTATTTTACCTCCAAAAATCACTAGTTTACAAGTCAATAATTTTAAAAAAAATTTGATAAATGAGGCATTTCTTGAAATAATCGAGTCTTAAGAGTGCTATTTTTGGATTCCTTAAGTTAAAATCTATTAGATTACCAAATTTTAAGAAATTTCCCCAAGCCATTATGAAGATACTATATGTCAAAGTTGCTTTGTAGTCGCTTCAGAAAATCACTAAATTGCTAAGTCAGCATTATTTCAAGTGACAATATCTATGAAACCCATTGGTATTTTTAACTAAAATTTTCGCAGTTATTATTTTTTTGATATGGACTGCAAGTGGTGTAAAAATTAACAAATTCTGAGACGTAAGGATGTCATAGTCTGGATGATTTCATATATTTTTACCCTATATATATATATATATATATATATATATATATATATATATATATATATATATATATATATATATATATATATATATATATATATATATATATATATATATATATATATATATAAATCAAGCTTGGTCAGGAAGGCATGCGGTTTCACGGCTTTATATGACCACAGAAATAATATTTTGTTTTGACAATTTGACCGCAGTTGTAACATTCTAATAATGCGCTGAAAACTTAACTTAGTTATAAAAAAATTAAAAAAACAAACTTATTTTAACAAAAAAAGTAAAATCTTGAAATAGTAATGAAATTCAAAATAAAGATAGCTCAGTAATAAAAAACTAAATCAAAGATTTAAAAAAAAACTTAACTAAAATAATTAATAAAAAATAAGATAATTAAATAACTTGAGAATCTTTACTAATGTTTTTATAATGTAAAACTAGTAGTGTCCTGTCTTCTTTGGTACCGCACCATATAAAATTATATTGACATTAAAAAATAAATAAATAGTACTAATCGACAAATTGTAAATAAACACTTTTGTTTTTATAAAAAACTTCATTGCACATTAGTGGTGTTTTTTAAAAAAACATCTTAGTTTAACGAGGAAACTTTTTTTAATGACACTTTTTTGTTGTTGGGTGGGGGGCGCGTTTTACAAAAATTACAACTGGCCAATAAACAAAAAAACTTGTTTTTTCTTTATTATATAGACATATTATATAGACATATAGATATAGACATAACGAAAAACCTTTTAAACAAAGTAAGAACTTTTAACGTTTTTTAATAAATACGCGTATTTAAAAGATAACAACAAAAAAAACCCTTACAATTCTTCACAGTAATGTAAAAAAAAGAAAAATAATTAAATCTTCTCTTTTGTCAGAAATCCAATATCAGAAAACAAATGAGGAAAAATGTAGATGAAAAAAAAAAAAAAGTAATGAGGAAATCTATTCCTTTAATTTATAATTTGATTTAATTTGTTAATAATTCATTTTTTTATTTTATTTAAAAACTAAAGAAAAAAAAATCATAAGTTTGTTATATTTCGAGTTAGGGAGAGTCGGGTAACCCCGGTCACTTAAGGAAAATATAGATTGTGCATATGTGCAAACAGAAAGAACGCGTCAAAAGACTTTTTTTTACAGTTCAAACATTCATCTATCGAATTAAAAACAAAAAAAATAAATTTTATGTATCTTAATAATATCCAAAACATAAAAGAAAAAATGTTAGAAAAAAGACATGTTTTAAAATTGGAGGGTAGCCCTGGACACATAGTTTAACCATGATTTTATCTCTTTTTTTACCAGTGTAACACAATTGTTATATATAATAATTTAGCATTAGACTGTTCTCGAAATAATTAAAAAAAAATCGCCTTTAAAAATTGTCTCTGATATATAAGGAATGAAAATGAAAATGTCTCATTTAAAAATATAAACATAAGCTTTTTTATAATGAAAATAAAAACTTTAAAAACACTTTTTTCAAATCTAATTTTTTTTTAATGAAATTAAATTACATGGAATTACTGTTATAGGTTTGTGTATTACATTAAATGTATTTATATTTATGTAAAAACAATTGTTTTTCAATTATATGTTAATTTAATAATCAATCTTTAATTTATTAATCAAATCAATTTTTTAATGTCTAAATTCAAATAATCATATGATTATTTTTTATTTATCTTTGCATTTTTATATACCAATTAAAAAATTACACTTACAAATAAAAATATAATAATATAAATAATTTTAATTAAAGATTGAAAGAAATAAAAAATTTTTTTAAGATTTCCCTAATACTGTTAATAATCTTTTAAAACCAATGCAACGAATTATAAAGCTATGATCTTTTCTAATGTTTATTATATTAGGCGAGCTCTTCCAAATAAATAAATAAAAACTTTCATCTAATTATTGTTTAATATAAACTAGCTTTATTCAAATTATCAAAAAGTATTTTTAAAAAAAGTTTATTCAAACGCAATCGTTGTTTCCATTGTTTACAAAATGAAGAATGCAAATTGTTTTTTAAAAAATACATTTATCATTAAAAAAAAAACCTTTTGAAATAAATAAAAGTTTTTTTTTTAATATTTTATGATAATTTATTTAATGGCGTTTTAAAACATTATTTGAAAGCGTTTAGCTTAATGTAAACAAGATTTTAATAGAAAGTTTACATAGTATAACAAAAAAATAAAAAATAACTTTGTTATGTTTTCAACTGTTTTTTAGCTATTCAATTAGTGGATTCATCAAAAAGTTTCTTTAAAAAATTTTTTTGTTCTTGCTTATAAAATTATTTGTACAAATTGTTATAAAAACATTTATATTCATTGTAAAAAATACCCTTTTTGACAATATAATATCTTTCCATAATTTAGATTAATATCTTTTATAGTATACAATCTTTAAAAGCAATTTCTTGCTTTATTACCTTATACTTTATTTAGCTCATTTTTCAAACGTTTTTAAAATTTTAAAAAGCTGTGGTTAAGTTGTCGCAAAAAAAATAAAGCAATTGTGGAAAGGAAAGGCGTGTAATTGCACGCCTTTCCTTTCCACAATTGTAGTACATATATCAACTATCTTATAGCCTGCTGTCAGTAGGAATGCTACTACACCTAATAAGGGTTTGACTGAGCCCTCAATCTTTTCTTTCCTTGTCATAAATTAAAAGTTTTATTATAAAATATTCTCTCCTACCTTAAAATCTTAAAAATGTGTTTAAGCTGTCTGAATAATAATGATTTTCTCATACATTTTTTTTCTTTTGAATAACATAGCATAGCATTAGGTTTTTAAATTTTAATTCTTTTAAATTTAATTTTGAAGGTGCAAGTTCGTTATATTGATTTCGGGAATTGTTAAGCTGTTGAAAAAAGTAGTCTTGTCAAACTGCCTGTGACTCTATCTGGTTTTTCTCCTGTAGCATTAAAGTACTCTTTGTCAGGAATAGAACTTGTAAACACGAAAGATACATCTGAGTTGTTCATTAAGGTTTTAGTCGTAACTAAGTTTTTGTTTATTTTAATTTAATTTTAAATTGGTATTGTATTTTTATTATATGTATTTTTTTTGTGAATTTTTTTTCAATTTGTTGTTGTAGGGTAGAGAAACTTTGAAAGAAATTATTCATGATAAATATGTTGAAATCAGTACAAAAATGCATGTGGATAATTGATTTAAAGGTTTTTTGTGTCGTTTTACCTTTGGTTATCCAATTTTTTTTTTTTTTCTGTAATCTAGTTTTTTTCTCATATAGTTTGCACTGGGTAATATGCTGTGGGTTGTATGGTTTTTTTTTGTTTAATGCAATTAAACACGAAATAATAATAAACAAAAAATGATACAATGGGATTTAAAGTGCAAAAACTAACATAAACTTATACTATAAGTTGCAGCAAGCATGATATTGAAAATTATAAAATAGTCTGAAACTGTAAACGGAGCTATTAAGTCTTTTTATTATATCATTAGTGATAAAATTAAAGGTTTAAAGAAATAGTTTTAAAAGCACAACTTAAAAGTCAATAGTTATAATCATTATCCTTTATAAAAAGAAACTTTGTTTAGCGATTTTTAATTAAAAGAATGTTTTAATAGTTATTTGTTTGTAGAATTGTCTGGACAATTTCAATTCAATTATGAATTTTTAATGAATTGTTTTAATTGTCACTGTAAAGTTAAAATCAAATTTTAATTGGTTTTTGTTGATTTTGAGGAGTTTTTTAAAAAAGAAGCAAGCTGTTCTGATTAGAGATCGTCCATAAATTATGCAACACAAAATATATTTAAAGAACAGAAGTATGAGATATTAAGCTCTTTTATGTTGCAATTTTCATTAAACTTTATGCAATAATTTAAATTTTAATTTATGTTAAGATTCTGCAAGGGAAAACTTCTTATCTTTTTTGTTTTATATATTGTGGAAGTTTACAATACGTAATTTATGGACAATCCCTTATGGAAAGTGTTCCAATTTAGGAAACAGGTTGCCTTAATTGGAAAAAAATGGTGTCTTGACAAAACTGAGTTTGTTTTCAATAACAGTGCAATCAATCCAGGTGTCTTTTTGTATTAATCAAATCATTAATGTTTTCATAGTTTAACCATTTTTGCTCAAAAAATGTTTTATTTTGAGGTGTTTCTAATTCAGCAACTCTCCCCTACTAATAACATTTTGTTATTTTTTTTCTTATAAGAATTTAATGTTTTTAATGTTTTTAATTGATGTATATATATAGATACATACATCATACATACATACATACATACATACATACATACATACATACATACATACATACATACATACATACATACATACAAGCTTGGTCGGGAAACGGGTGCGATTGCACTTGATAACTGACCAGGGAAATAATATTTAGTTGTGAAAAACCGGCCAGATTTTTTTATTCGTTTTGAGAACATTTAAATTTATTTATGTTTCCTTAATTAAGTTCATTTTATCGTAATTTTTAAAATATTTTGTTTTACGGACATACATGGAAACATAAATAAACTCAAATATTCTCAAACATCTTTGTACAGAAAAATAAAAAAAGAATATTTGCAAACACAAAAAAACTGCCAAATCTACGAACAACTAATTCTATTTGTTCAAAAAATACAAAGCAAAATTTCTAGAGTATTCTGTTAAAATATTTTTAAAAATTGTATTAATTGAGTTTTGTTGAATTTTCAATGAGATTTATAGTGTTTTAAATATCTATCTATATTATCAAAGGAACTATTATTTTAATTCTCGGAGCCACATCTACAAAGCTTTGTTTTAAACTAACATTATTAGTTTACAAAAATAAATGTTTTAAATTTATCTTTTTTAACTTGTCAATGTTTTGTAAATTTATTACAGATTGTATTAGTATATTCTTATTTTTTATACAAGGGATGTTTTTTTTATATATGTAATGATTTTTATATATGTATTTTTATGCATGTAATTTTACGCATATGTATTATTATGCATGCATAATAATGTATTATTATGCATGTAATTTTATGTATGTGTATTTTATTCATATGTAATCTTTTAAAGCATTTTGTGCAATTGATTTTGTAAACAAAAATACTTTCAATAATAACTGCGTTTTTAATAAGTTATTAATAATCATCAAAGTTAATACAAATAATTTTAACCACTATTCCATTTTCTTCAGTATACCTGTTAACTGATTCTTTTCCCCAAGAAAGAAAAGTTTTTAAGTTCTTAGAAATTTGTTTACTAACTTCAATTATTTTTGCTTCAGCCATTCTTACAAACTCGTTATACTTAAAATTATTTTTTTCTAATGTAAATACTAATTAAAATTGTAAAGCCCACTTACTAAACATCATAAGTGCTATTGTGAAGCAGTTCTGCTTCCTCCTCACATAGTAATTTAACGTATTTAGTTGATTTCTATTTAGCTAATTGAATTTCTACAGTAATTAAATGATTTATTTATTTCATTTGTCCATCTTACTAAGAAAATTGTTTCAAATGTGTTTAACTTTTCAAACTACGCAAAGCATGAAACAGTTATTGAAAAAACTTTTTCATTTATAAATAAATCATCTAGTGTTAGTTTTATTGGTTGAATCTTGTTGGACTTTTCATTGGATGCATTATTTTGGTAGCCTTTTTTTATGTACCACAGCGTAAAATGACTAAAAAAATTACCGAATCGTCCTCTTAACTAATTTGCGGCCTCTAACATTGTAAGCCCCAAGGCTATAGCCCTTCTACTCCCACTCTCCTCCCCACCTCCTCAATTCAGCACTGGAAAAAGACATAAGTATATAAATAAAAATAGTATATACTCTTTGATAAATCGAAGAACATTTGTTTCCTTATTAAACAATCATTAATAGTAAGTTGTTACTTTATATAAAAAATGTCACTTTCATATAAAAAGTGTCAATTTTATAAAAAAAAATTATAAAAGAGCGATGTTTCACAAATATTTGCTCTTATCGTATTTATTTTGCTCAATGTTTTTTCGTGTTAAAAGCTATTTTTCTTTTTTTAACTGTCTCTCATTGGTCCAGTTAATCTTAATGTGCTTTTTTGTTTGTTTTTGAAATAATCTCATATTGACTAAAAAATCTGTCCGGTTTTTCGCAACTAAATATTATTTCCATAGTCAATTATCGAGTGTGATCGCA